ACTGTCTAAAGCCTCTCTACGTTAGGACGTTAGTCATAATTTGCTTTCTAGCGACAATTTGTTACAGCAAAAAATAATAAGAACAAAAACAAACATAAATGACAAAAATGGAGTACCTTCGTCATATCCAGACCTCCAATTTCTAACATAACTGACTCTTGAATTGACTCGTTTGATGGCGTTTGAGTAGCAAGGTCAAGGTCAAGGTCAAGGTCAGTTGGAGGATTATCTTGATCATCTTGTTAATGGGTAAAGAAAAATATACATAAAAAACCTGTAACTACTAAAATTATATAATACACATAGTCCACTAGCCATCAAGAACAGCAGAAAAAGGAATACAGCCACCGTCAAATGAGACAAAAGTTAGCTTGACCGGTATGTCAAGAAGCGGTTGCCATGACAACGTCAAATATACGGGGAGAGACAGCTGGCATATCGAATTTTCCCTTGTGGGGATGAAAAAAAAGCTACTGAAAGTTCCTGCGTCACAGAGTACATCGCCATTTTCAAAGTTCCGAGAAAACAGTCACCCTCCTCCTGACCTCTGTATGCCTAAGAATTAAATGACTTAAATTTATAAAGACTGCCACAAGAAGGAAGTCTGAATCATTTAAAAAAAAAAAAATCTCACCTATACAGAAACCACATGACCTTCGACAATTTTCCATCGTCCAGTTTAACTGAGTAACACAGGCATCCCCGAACAATGAAAGACTTGAGCATACAGCAGCGAACTGAGGGTTGTCAGAACAATCAACTAACAGAAAAAGAGTTAGGACAAACGTTAGCAGTTTTCTTCTGATGTCCAGCCAGCTTAAAAGATTATATATAGCCGCTACGTCTAGCTACCTCCACAAAATCCACATGACTTGGCGCAATACTCTTTCGTCCAGTTGGAATGGACTATGCAAAAATTGCCATAATGAGGAAGAGAAGCACAATTCAGGAATCCTGGCTTATCTGAACAGCCTGCTGTAAACGAAAGAGAAAGGAAACAAGAAATCAGATTTTTGTTTGAAAAATGTTGGCTTAAAGCAGAGAAAAGGAAACAATCGACGTAAATGAACATGTTCCACCCATCAAGGAATTTCTTTTCTAACTAGTTCTCCACCCAAGAGTAGCTATTCTACTACCACGGCTTAACAGCTCAGGCGTTAAATAAAGACTTGCTGCGATAAGCGCTTTGGAAAACAACTCTAAGATTAATGTAGCCATAAAACTTATTAATGTAGTTATTTTCCAAAGCGCTTATCGCAGCAAGTCTTCATTTCCCTACAAAGATAGGATCAAGCGTTCTCAACTGTCAAAAGTTGTGTATAAGGCTAATTGTTGGGACTGCCAGGATTTCTACATTGGAAAAACATAACGTAGATTGCATGACAGAAAAACTGAACATTTTAAATCGATCACGAGTAGCTGTCATGCTTCTGCTATTGCAGACCACGTCACGTCAACTGGTCAC